AGGGGAAACTGAGGCCGAGAGAGGTTGAGGATCTATCCTAAGACACTGAACTCCATACAGATCCAGGAACAAGAGACCCATTGGCCTGGAGCCATTATGGCCTTGGTTTTCCCCTCCTCTGGATGAGAACAGCTCAGGGCTGGGGCCCAAAGAGACCATGGAAGCAGAAAGCCCCTCCTCAACGTGGTACAATGAGAACTAAGGCCCCCAGGCCCCCATTATCCCTCCTCCTGTGCCGGCCCCTCTCCACTCCCCCCTCCCTACAAGTCCTCCCACATTCCTCCAGGCAACAGGAAGCCCCAGCTGCAGCCCAGACTTCAAACAGCTCCTCCCTCTGGGCAGGGGGTGTGGGAGGAGAGGCCAGGGGCCAGAGGGCAAGGGTCAGCTTTGTTCCTGCCTGGAGGTGGTGAGGGACCCTGGGGGAAACAGGGGGGTAGGATAGGGCCTGTGTGTGTGTGCGCGTGTGTGTGTGTGTGTGTGTGTGTGTGTGGAGAGAGAGAGAGAGAGAGAGAGAGAGAGAGAGAGAGAGAATCTTGTGTCCATTGGGTGTGCGTGGTTCTCACCAGCTCCTTGATTTCCTTTCAGCTATGAACCTGAGCTGTGTCTGAGTGCATATCAGCGCATTTGTTTATCTGTGGGCCCTCAGCCTGGGATCCCAGTGACATGTCTGTAGGTGTCAGGATGTGCCTGGTTCACAGGCCTGCTCAAAGTTATGTGTCCTGAGTGTGACCTGGTGCGGTTCTTTGTATCCGAGAGAGGTGTCCCTCTCCCACTTCTTCCCCTCCCATTCTTCCGTCACATTGGTCACCAGAGGTTTCCTTCTGGAAAGTGAATGTGATTTGTTACTCCCCTGCTCAAAACCCTTCAGTGCTTCCCTTGGCCCCAAACCTAGAAGCCTGGCCTGCATGCATGGCAGACAAGACCCATGCCTACCCCACCATCTCCATCTCTAGCCACTAACCCCCCCTCAAAATTTTCAACCCAGACACACCTACCTAATTGTAACATCCTGTATGGTCCCAGTGAAGTCTGAAATGCCCTTCTTTTGTTTCTTTTTTTAAAATATATTTTTATTGATTACAGAGAGGAAGGGAGTGGGAGAGAGAGAGAGAAACATCAATGATGAGAGAGAATCATTGATCGGCTGCCTCCTGCATGCCCCACACTGGGGATCAAGCCTGCAACCTGGGCATATGCCCTGACCCCTGACCCCTGACTGGGAATCGAACCGAACCGTGACTTCCTGGTTCACTGGTCAATGCTCAACCACTGAACCATGCCAGCTGGGCCTTTGTTTCTTTATCAAGGAAACTTTTACTCCTTTTGCAAGTCTCTGGTGAGCAACATCTCCATCGAGAAGCCTTCCAGACTTCCCCATGACCAACTGAGTTGGTATCCTTCCCTGTTCTCCCACATTTTCTGCCTGTGTCTGTCCCCTTCGCCCTCATCACCGTTACTGTGAGCTCTGAGAGCAGGCACTGGCTGTATCTCCCATCCGATGGGGTGGGAAGGTTCTGAAGGGACCCAGTCCTATCCCAGAGGAAAGTTTCTGCAGTTTAAAATATAGTACTCAGAGTGACCACTAGAGGGCCTATGGACACCTCTGCAAGACCATCGTGTGTGTGTGTGTGTGTGTGTGTGTGTGTGTGTGTGTGTGTGTGTGTGAGATGGGTGAAAGGGAGGCTTTGACACTGTACCTGGGAGAGAACTGAAGTAGATAGGGGGTCCACCCAGCTCAGTACTAGAACAGTGGGATCCAAGATAGACTCATTCCCCAGAGGTCCTAGGCCCCATAGATTTCTCTCTGACTTTTCTCCACAACTCAGGTCACTCAACTTGGGTTTCCTCCCATAGATTTCTCTCTGACTTTTCTCCACAACTCAGGGGCCATACCCCTTGGCTTTCCAACCCTCCAGCTTAAAAAAAATAAAAACCTCACTTAAGGATATGTTTTTGTTGACTTTTACAGAGCGGAAGGGAGAGAAAGAAAAACAGATGTGAGAGAGAAAAACCCATCGGTTGCCTCCTGCATGCGCCCCAACTGGGGATTAAACCCACAACCTAGGCATGTGCCCTGACCAGGAATCTTGAACCTTCAACCTTTTGATGTATGGGAGGATGCTCCAACCAACTGACCCACGTGGCCAGGGCTCAACCCTACCACCTCTTGCCTGTGACCTTCCGACCTTCTTCCGTGCTTCATCTGCACCCTCCGCCTCCCATACTTAGTAATTAGTTGCACTTGCCTGACTTGCCTTGTTCTGCCATATCTCTGGGCCTTCGCATGTGCTGTTCCCTCCGTGGGAGATGATCTCAGCCTCTGGCTGCTTCATCAGGCCCTTTTCTTTGCATCCTCCCAGGAGTCTGCCTTGGCCTCCCGACTGACCTTGCCCCTAAGTGTGGTAACTGTTTGCCGTTCTGCCGCCTGGGCAGGACCAGCCTACAGGAGATATCAGTAAGTGTGTGCAAAATTAATAAATGACTTGGTTCTTTTACAGATACAATCCTCAGCATACATGGGGCTACCCCAGACCTCTATCTGCACCGTGCCCTCTCGGGCCTGACTCTGGGTTAGTACTGTACTTTCCCATGCGGCTCCATCAGATAAAGGAATGTGACACAGTGGGGTGCAGGGTTCAAATCCTGCCCCTACCATCCAGCTGTCTGACCTCGGGCAGGTGTCGTAGCCTCTCAGAGTCTTTGTTTCCTCTTTTATAAAACAGGAATAATCACACTTCTGCTCAGCCTCGGGAGGATCGTATTAGATGATGCATGTGAAACACCCAGCATTAGTCAATTATGTGCCCTTCTCCCCCACCATGAACTTGGAGATAAAATTGCCCTCTGAGTCTTAAGCCAGTAAAATCCACGCTTCAGGAGGAGAAGAGCCAGGTGGGGGAGTGAATGAGGCGAGAGATGGTTTTGTAAACGACTGAAGGGTTTTGTGAACAGTGGAAACTGCAATCAAGGTGACCCACCCGCCTGTAATCTCAGGGAGGCAGGGCGAGGATGTGATTGAAATTGAGAAAACAGAGGCCTAATCAATTGCATTGTGCTCTATCTGAAGGGAACAGAAGGATGCACAGAAAAGGGGGTGCAAGGGAGAATTTATTCAGCTGCACCAGAGGGAGGGACAGGGAACCAATAGATACACGGATTCCAGGCTCAGGAGACTCTGGTCTCTGCTGAGCAGCGAGGGCCTGGTGAACTCCACGTGGTTCACTGCCCCGCTGGGCCTTCATTTAAACTCAATGGGCATCCAGGTACCAGGCAGAGAGTTCCATCAGTCAGACAAAAATATTTTGATCCCAGGAAAAGACTATAGAGCAGCGGTTCTCAACCTGTGGGTCGCGGCCCCTTTGGGGGTCGAACGACCCTTTCACAGGGGTCGCCTAAGACCATCGGAAAACATATTGAATATATAATTACATATTGTTTTGTGATTAATCACTATGCTTTAATTATGTTCAATTTGTAACAATGAAAATACATCCTGCATATCAGATATTTACATGACGATTCATAACAGTAGCAAAATTACAGTTATGAAGTAGCAACGAAAATAATTTTATGGTTGGGGGTCACCACAACATGAGGAACTGTATTAAAGGGCCGCGGCATTAGGAAGGTTGAGAACCACTGCTATAGAGACTAAGAGCACTGATTCTGAAGTCAGAGGATCTGGTTCAAGCCCCTGCTCTGCCATTTATGTCCTGTAACCTACTTACTTCACTGTGCCTCAGTTTCCCTATTTATAAAATGAAGATACAACAGCCTTCTCCTCATAGGGTTCTGTGAGGATTAAATGGCAGCATGCACTTAGCAGGATACCTGGCATATCCTATATAATAAAAGCCTAATATGCTAAATGTCCGGTAGTTCATTCAACCAATCAAAGTGTAATATGCTAATGATATGCTAAGGCCGCTCAACCACTAGCTATGATGTGCACATCCCCTGAGGGCTCCTGGATGCAAGAGGGCACAGGCTGGGCTAAGGGAACCCCCTCTCCAAGTGCATGAATTTCGTGCACCAGGTCTCTAGCAGTAAATAATTAGTAAAAGGTATAACAAAGAGAGCTAGCATGTATTGAGCATTTTATCGCCATTTCACAGATGAGGAAATTGAGGCTTGGAGAGGTTAATAACTTCCACAAAATCACACAGCTAGCGAGTGGTGGAGGCAAGATTCACACCAGGCAGTACAGCTCTAGAGCCGTGCTCTTATCTGCTTACTCCAAGGCAGATGGAAACACTGGGACTCTGGTTTATACATCAGGCTCTTGTGAGTTTGGTTGGCTGAAAAAGCCTCAGGAAGCCTTGGCACCTGAAAGTCTGAGTGTGCAGAGCCACGGCTCCCACTTCTGTGATCACCTCTCTAAGCAGCCCCTTGGCCCCTCTTCCTATTATTGCTCCCATTCAGCATCCCCTAGCACAGGGCTGAACCCAGGGAACTCTCAACCTGCACTGGCCACATTGTCTCCTTTTCTTCAGGTCACTCAACTTGGGTTTCCAGGAAATCTTTCTACCAAAATCTAGAGCAGTGATGGCGAACCTTTTGAGCTCGGCGTGTCAGCATTTTGAAAAACCCTAACTTAACTCTGGTGCCGTGTCACATATAGAAATTTTTTGATATTTGCAACCATAGTAAAACAAATTTTTGATATTTATTTTACATATTTAAATGCCATTTAACAAAGAAAAATCAACGAAAAAAATGAATTTGCGTGTCACCTCTGACACGCGTGTCATAGGTTCGCCATCACTGATCTAGAGGGAGAAGGTTCTTCCAAACACCCACTTGGGGCCGATAGGATTCTTTCCCAAAATCCAGAGGCAGTGAGGTCTGGTAGAAAGATAATGGGCCTTAATGTAAGAGCAGGGTTCCAATCCCAGCTCTGTCGCAGATAGCTGTGTGACCCCTGACCTCCGTTTCCTCATCATAGAACCAGACTCGGGACTAGACGAAATGGATGTAAACACAGCGGGCACTCAGCAGACGCTTAATAGATGAGTTATTATTATTTCTCTCCAGCCTGACTGTAAACTCCTCCAGGACAAGGACTGGTCTTGTTCACGTTTGTGTTCCTGGGATCCCGCCTAGCAAAGGGCCTTTGCAAATTTAATGCTCTGTAATTGTTTGCCAATTACAGCAGTGATTCCTAGCTCCCAGCCTCCAGCCCTGTCCACCCTCTTAGTAAGTCAGGGGGTCAACAATTTCCTGACGGCGGAGGTGGAAATCCTTACTTCTGGTTCCCCTTGTTTCCATGTAGCTGCACATCAGCTGTCAGAGTGCCTCGAAGGGGGACCTGGGGGTGGGACAATGCCTCACTGCACATGCGCACGGCCGGTTGTTGAGCACCTTCCATCCCTGCCCACGCCCTGACGGGAGGCCCTAGTCATCATCACAAACAAAACTGCCTCCAAACCTCTCCAAAACCCCCTAGAGCACAGAGCTGTCCAGGTGAGACCCAGTGAGCTGGACTAACTCTCCGGCCTCCCCTCTCCCCTCCCTCTGTCTTCTTTTGGGGAGCTGCAGAGGGTCCACTGTGAACCTCCCCCACTGCCCCTTTTGAGGGAGGCCTGCTGCTATGCCTGTGAAGAACAGTAAATCTGTAGGATCAAGTAAAGAATTAGCAAACCCACGGCACACAAACTAAAACCACAGTAGTCATTTTGATCTCCAACTGCCTGTCTTCTATAGCCATCTCTGGACTTGTTCTAAACTCAATGGGGACGAGCATAGGACTTTTGGGTGGCCTAAGACACACCTTGGTGTACCCTGTGCTTATTAGCTCTCAGGGTCCTCCCTCTTCCCAGCAGCCAAAGCAGCCCCACTCACCTCCCACTGACCACCCTCCCTCCCAAAGGAAGGGATCTTCATAGCTCATGGATTCACATTGTCATTTTTCTTATTTACAAAATCAAATACACATACACACATTGACTGGGGGGGGGGGGTAAGCCCTCAGCAATCCTCTCCCTCAATCTGGGCCTTGGACCCCAGTCCTGGACTACAGGGTACACTCCACAGGAAAGGGATCCAGGTAAGTTTTTCCCTCTCTTTGTAACTTACAGATACAAGAGATGACTGGAGTTGAATTCTGGGATCCTGGACCAGGGTGGGATGGCAGGGTAGGAATGCAGGGGTAGGAGGCGAGGGAAAGGATATAGTTTTATAAATAACTAGATAAGGTCTGAGTATTTCTTTTTGGGGGGGGGCGGGGGGAGGTAGGGAGACTAGAAGCATATAGGGTCCTAAATTGGAGGGAGAAATATTGCCTGGGCCACACTGGGTAAGGGATCATCTCTGAGCCTCTATTTGTCTATCTTTAAAATGAGTGGGTTGCCCTTGATGGCGTCAGAGCAAACAGTTTGCTCTGACAGGCTAGGACTCTATAGGGCTCTAAGCCTGGGGGCTTTGGGACCAGAGCCCTGGGGATTGAAAAGGGCTGGTGGGCACCCCCAGAGAGGTGGCAGATGCCCAAACCAGCTATGTCTGATCCCCAGGCTGGTACTGGGGTTCTGTGGAGGTGAAGTAGTCCTCCAGGAAGGACTGCAGGTACTCGAAGGTAGGCCTCTCCTCCGGATCCAGGCGCCAGGTCTGCAACATGACCTCGTACAGGGATGCTGGGCAGCCTGGGGGGCACGTCATGTGGTAGCCATGCTCCACCTGATCCAACACTTCCCGGTTATTCATGCCTAGAGGATGGGGCTCCGTCAGTCAGGGGGCCCAGCCTCTCCCAAAGAAGCAGCAAGGAGGCAACCCTTCCCCATGACCACTCTCCCACCTCCCCGTCCCCAGCAAACCTGGGTAAGGAACTCGGCCCTTGCTGATGAGTTCAGTGAGGAGGATTCCAAAGGACCACACATCTGACTTGATGGTGAATCTGCCATAAAGGGCTGCCTCTGGGGCTGTCCACTTGATGGGAAACTTGGCCCCTGGAGAGATTGGAGGAGAAGGGAAAGTTAGTGAGGGGGATCCCTGGGAACAGCTGGATGAAAAGAATGGTGTCTTGCCCTGGCCGGTTTGGTTCAACAGATAGAATGTCGGACTGCGGACTGAAGGGTCCCGGGTTTGATTCTGGTCAAAGGCACATGCCCAGGTTGCGGCTCGATCCCCAGTAAGGGGCGTGCAGAAGGCAGCTCAGAGTAGATTCTGGTCGAAGGCACATGCCCAGGTTGCGGCTCGATCCCCAGTAAGGGGAGTGCAGAAGGCAGCTCAGGGTACAAGTTGGGACCCCACCCTGAAGAGGACGCACTCCATTGCAGGCTGCACTCACATGCACGCTCACTCAGGCAGAGCCGATGTAGACAAGCCCACTCACCTCACATGCACAGCTTTGGGGTGAGAGAGGGAGCCAGAGGGCCAGGAGAAAACCCACGAAGACATGGGGAGAATGTGCAAACCACACAGACAGTGGCCTAAGCCTGGGAATTATTTTTTTTCTCATCAATGTTATAAGGAACGATGTGAACAAATGGACATTATTCGAGGACCGGCAATCTAGCCTTTCCTACATGCCAGGTACTGCATTAAGCGATTTACATGCATTAACTCATTTAAGCCTCACAAAAACCCCTTGAGATACATATTATTATCCATATTGCACAGATAAGGAAAAGGAGGCAGACCACACAGTTTATAGGTGGTTAGGATTCCAACCCAGGCACTCTGGCTACAGAGTTCATGCTATGATGCCTATTGTCTTTCACTTGAGAATTCTAGCAGTACCTAACACATAGTAGGTACTTTGCCCAAGGCCACATGGCTGATAAGTGGAGGAACTTGGATCTGAACCCAGAGTTGCCTCTTACACTACATTGCGATGGGAAGCGGGGAGGGTTCCTGAGTAAGTGAGGCCCTGAGGTGGGATGAGGCCGGGCACCTTGCTGGGGGTTGTACTCATCATCCTCGATGAGACGGGCCAGCCCAAAGTCAGCGATCTTGCACACCAGCCGCTCCCCCACGAGAATGTTGGCTGCCCGCAGGTCCCGGTGGATGTAGTTCATGCGCTCCATGTAGGCCATGCCCTCGGCTACCTGCGGGCCAAGGTATGGAGAGATGGGAACACCATGGCTATGTGACGGGTCATTTGAAAAACCAACTTTGCAAGGCACTGGCTCAGAGGCAGCCAGGGCCCGGCCTCAGTTCGCACAGCTGATGCAGTGGGTGGGGCTGCACGGCCAGGGGTACGCTGTGTTTAAGGGCACCGGGCTTCCAGGGCACAAGGATTTGTGGAAGGTTAATAGGAGGGAGATCTGAGAAATGACGGCTGCGGTCCCAGTTTACCTGGGCTGCCATGTCCACCAACTGGGGCAGCATCAAATCCTGGCCCTCTCGGTCCTTGAGGAACTCCAGCAAGCTCCCTGGGGAGAGGAACCCCGAAAATCAGCAGAAAGACCCTACCGCCAGCTCCAGGCCAGCCCGGTCTCCCTCGGCCCCTCCCCTATCCAGAACCCATGATCTCTAGCCCCAGCCCCGGCTCCCAGCCCCGGCTCCCAGCCCACTCATTTAGATCGGCCCCCATTCAAGATCCCGCCAGGTACCTCAACCCTTCACAAATCTCACCCGGATCCCCCTCCACAGATATCTTGACTCTCCCACATCTTTCTTCTCTTCCTACGTCACCCCTGGACATGCCACACTCAGACTCCGTCCCAGACCCTATCTCATCACGATGCCACCTTCACTTGCCCCAAGCCCACCCACCAGCTGACCACACCTCACGCCAGAGGCCCCGCCCCCAGTCCCAGCAGTCACGTGGTTTCCCTTCTCAGCATCTCTCTCCGATCCTCCGCAGGGTACATCCTCCCAGCACAGATCGCTACCCAAGTCCCTGCCCCAGAGACACTCACCTTTGACTTCACCCCAAACCCGGCCCCCAGCCTCGCGCCCTGACCCCGCCGCTCACCATGGCACATGAACTCGGTCACGATGTAGATGGGCTCCTCCGACACCACGGCGTACAGCTGCACCAGCTTGTCGTGTCGCAGCAACTTCATGACCTGCGCCTCCTCCAGGAAGGCCTTCGGGGACATGGTGCCCGGCTTCAGCGTCTTCACCGCCACCTTCGTGCTGCCGTTCCACGTGCCTGC